AAAAGTCGTTCCATCTATGCTAAAAAGAATGGAAATCCAAGTTAGAATGAAGAAGATAAGAGACGATTAATTAAGAAAAATAGGGTAAATAAAAGGCTATTAATTTTCACCCTTTAGATCTAGTTATGGAAGGATGCATAACTATAATATTTTTAAAAATTGTGGGATATAAAAGATGTGAAATTTCCATTGAATTGGGTTGAAAACAGTTATTAGCACTGTATGCAACTATACTTTTGTAAGTTAATATATCATTCTACTATTTTCTTGTACAAATGTATCCTTCAATTATGAACTACTAACGAAGATGTTCTTCTGTCAATGTCATCGTCAAACCACCATTAACAGGAACGAAAAATTTCAAATTACACATCACTTCACTTATTGTGTATCTTATTATATTTTCAGAAAAAAAAACTTAACTATTATTATTTATTGTAATTCCTATTATCCCTTCCACTGTAGAGAATCTCCAACCAAATGTTGGGACTTTTGGAATGAGGGTCTACGTACGATAGCCTGAGACCGGGTGATCAGGATTGTGATAGAGTCATGAACAACGTTCACTTTCTGAAAAGAATATTTCCACCCTTTTCAAAGCCTTGGGTTACAGAAATTTTATCCCGGGGATAAAACAACCACCACTTAAGGTTCTAGGCTCAAGAACACTAAAGCATATTTAAAAGTTTTTGGAAGAAATTACGGATTTTTTTTTGTGTCTTTTTTTTAGGGAAAAGTTGATTGGATTTCATATAGTCAAGAAAAGGATGCCTCAAGGGCTATAGCATCAACAATTATACAAGGATAATAATTGTTCCAAAACAACACTTCCTCAGAACCAGAAGTTAAGTGAGCCAACTGATGAGCCAAACTATTAGCCTCCCTGTAGGTAAACAACCAATCTCTAATATCCAAATTCTCAACCAATCTCAAAATTTCTTCACACATGCTACCAACTTTAGTTCTGCTAATTCGCGGCGTTTTAGGAGGAACATCAACCGTTTTAGCAAAACTGAAGTGGGTAGCGTGTGTGAATAAATTTTGAGATTGGTTGAGAATTTGGATATTAGAGATTGGTTGTTTACCTACAGGGAGGCTAATAGTTTGGCTCATCAGTTGGCTCACTTAACTTCTGGTTCTGAGGAAGTGTTGTTTTGGAACAATTATTATCCTTGTATAATTGCTGATGCTATAGCCCTTGAGGCATCCTTTTCTTGACTATATGAAATCCAATCAGCTTTTCCATCAAAAAAAAAAAAAAAAGCAGAGCGACTCGACTATCTCCATGACAGAATAGAGGGTGGACTCGACTATCTAATCATCGAAAAGCAATAAAGCAAAATCAAGTAAATTATTTTTAGGGGTAATACCATTGGAAATACCATCCTTTAGCGAAAGTGTCATTTATATTACATGCTTTCAATAAACACAAAAATATTCCAATCTATTAGAGGTTTGCGTCATTTGTGTTACGCGAATTTCCGTTAACTGTTAAAAATGACGGTGGCCCACTTTGTGTCCACGTAGGCGACACGTGGATGCCACGTTTGAAAAAAATGATTAAAAAGTTGGGTAAATACAATATAATAGCCAAACCTTTCGTTTTAAATAATATAATAGTCAAACCTTTTCGAAAACAATTTAATAGCCAATCCGTTAACTTCCATCCGGTCAACCATTAGTTGACTCTTACGTGGCAAAGTATTAAATGAGGGGGAAGGCTCTTTATGATGTGGCATGAAGTCAATTATTTGACCTTGCCACATAGATATTCCACCATTTTACAAAACAATTTTTTTATATTTGAAAATATAAATTAAATTAAGAAAATAACATTGATCCAATATATATTTGTTTGTTGGGACTGGTCATCTTCTTCCATCATCCATCGTCCCTGCACCCAAACCACTTCCCATCAGGGAGCGGATACTATAACAACAAGGGTAAAAGGATCCATTAACATAATATCTAACAAATAAAAAGATCAATATTCAGCTGATCTCCTTCCTCGCGTATATCGCTTCTTCTCCTCCAATACTCCCCCGGCGCCGCGCCGCCCGATCTGAACCTTCTGACCACTCCATGCCGCTCGCAGGAACAGCAAGCGCTTCGCCTGTGGATCGCGACGGCGGCGTTGCTGAACGTGGAAGGCCTGGCGCTACGCGGCGGCGATGTTATTTCCTCACCGACGTCGTCAGTCTTTGAAGGCGAAAGAGAAGCAATGGCATTAGGAAGCGGTCGAATTGGGTGGGAGATGTGTTTCGTTCCGGAGAAGAACTGAACTGGTAGTCGGCACATCTCCATTTCCTATCCTGACTGGCCGTTCACACTACATCGCCGGGAAGGATGTCAAAGAATGCCGATGTGAGAAGAAACACTGAATGCACCGTAGAAACGTGAAACGCGCGATGGATTGTTCACAGGCCTAACAATTTGAGGTCGAACTCACTAGTTAGGCCCATTCTAATTCGGGCTGGAGCCCATCTAGCTCGGGGAATTCCCAAACTTGGAAATTCTCCTTCCTCTGCTTGTCGAGGTTCGGCCGGAAATACGGCCTCCGGCGGTTCCTCTTCTTCGACCGCCTCTGCCACGACAGCGACACCGTCAGGCAAGGATACACCAAGAAGCTCGATGTAAGGTTTTCCAAATCTCCAATCTACCTCCTAATTATAATATTATTAATCCGGTATGAATGTTAAGTCGACAGTAGCAGCAGCCCAATTCTGGGAATCCCAACCAGCAAAGGGGTAAGAAGATACGAATTGACCGGGGGGAAATCGGGTAAACGAAGAATTGTAAGCAAGGAGAAAGAGCCCAGAATTGGGCGGGATGGGAGTAAGAAAGAGGGGGATTGAAGGGATTTCTTTTTTCAGTTCGTGAGATCAAATTGAAGGGAAGTAATTCGAGATTAGGAGGAAGGGGAGCTGTGTGAAGAGGAGATAGTAGAGTGGGAAGGAATTCGGGAATGGTGTGTAAGAGTTCGACTTTACTAACTTCGCTCGCAGCAATTAGGGTCAGGACAAAAAGGGGGAAAATAGAAAATGCATACTATAAACCTTCTAATACAGACCACAAATCACCTAAAGCAAATCAGAAAAAAGCATACCAAAAACCTCCTAAACCAAACCGCAGATGCTCTAAAACATACCGACAACCCCGCAAAGCAAACCACAGAATTTTAAAAAACACAACAGAAACCTCATAATGCAAACCACAAACACGTTAAACAAACCCACAAAACAAACCAAAAACCTCCTAATGCGTACTACAAATCTCCTAAAAAAACCAGAAACCTCACAAAGCAAACCACAAAATTTTCGAAAACATACAGAAATCTCATAATGCAAACCAGAAACAAGATAAAGCAAACCACAAAAACAAACCAGAAATGTCCTAATGTAGATAACAAATCTATTAAAACAAACCACAAACCCCGCAAAACAAACAAATTTTTTTTTGAAAGCACGCCAGAAACTTCTTAATGCAAACCAGAAAAACGATAAAGCAAACCACAAAATGCATAAAAAAATATGAGAAACCAAACCATAAATCTCACAATGCACACCACAATATCCGGTGATCGTTGACCGGTCAACAAAGTTCGTTGACCAAACTCCGACGACCGATACGCATATTCCGGCCACGATGACTAGATTCTGATGCCGGTAAGCATATTCCGACGCCTGCAAGCATATTCCGCCGACAAAAAAGCATATTCCGGTGACCAAAATTTTGGGCAGAAAATAAAAAAATATTTTTTAAGCTTTTATTTTTTTTATTTTTATTTAAATATATTTTCATAATGAAAATTATACCCCTGCTTTGATTTTACACTAGGTCAACTCAGATAATAAAAAGTCATCACAACCCTAGCTTCCTATTGGTTGGAGACTAGTGTTGTTACAATAACAACATAAGGGGTGTTGTCCACTATCTAGTCTCTTCCCATCACCAATCGATTAAAGCTCCGACCCTAATATCGCCGGGAAGAGGGAAGTGCGAAAATTCCACTCTAGACACCCATCCATCCAATACCCCACACCCAGTCGCTTCGCATCCTCCATTCCCCTACACCCACCCATCGCTCCATCCCATCTCTTCAATCGCTCCAGTCGATCGGTCGGACATCTATGAGAATCTGGGTTTTTTCCTGGGTTGGACGATTGGCAATCCCAGGGTTTTTCCTACGAATCTGGGTTTTTCATGGGCTGGGTGTTTCGCGATTTCTAGGCTGGGGTTGATGCTAACTAGGGTTGAAGGATTGTGCGAGGGAGCATGGATTGCGATGGAGGATCGAGAGCTTAGAACTCGGGCTTGGGCTTGGAGGATGGCAAAGAAGAAGAAGAGATAGGGTTCTTTGATTTTTAATTATATTTTTCCCAAAAAAATGAATTATTATGTAAATTTATTATTATTCTTGTGGGATGTTAAAAGTTTAATGTCTTGCCACGTCATCAGAAAATTTCCACCTCATTTAATGGTTGGCTATTAAATTGTTTTTTAAAAGGTTTGGCTATTATATTGTTTAAACGAAAGGTTTGACTATATTGTATTTACCCTAAAAATTTTAAAAATATTATTTATTAATTATTTATTATTCTATTACAAAATAAAAATTCTTTTAACCCACACACCTCTATCTTTTTTACAGCATCGGGCCTCTCCTTCGAAACCCCCAATCCCAAGCCTCAACACAGGCCGCCGCCACATCACCAACATCATTACTCTGTCATTCCTCCTCTCCAATCGCCACCGAATCCGGTGAATCCGGAGCCGGAGGAGTTGATTGTTGTCCAGGAGAAGGAGGCGGAACAGTTGGTTCGATTCGATCGTAGAGGCGGAACAGCTGGTTTGGGAAACAATGGAGCTCCTGGGCCGAAAGGAGATCTTTCTACCTGATTGAGGGTTTCAGATTCTCGAGGATTGAAATTGAACTGGGTATCCTTCCTTTAGGCATGTTTTCCAAAAGATCCACACGGGTGAGATTCTCGACCAAATGCTTAGGAATCGAGCCCGTGAGATTCGCATTCGTGATGGTGAGCGACCGGAGCTTGTTCATATTCCCGATGACGACGTAGAGCCCGGTGGTGCTGACGGGGACATCGGTTACGGTGAGGTTGACGAAGTGGGAGAGCTAGACGTCCGTTAGGTGTTTGAGAGAATGCGCACAAGTGAAAGAGCGGAGGGCGAGGGCGGGATCTGAAGGGAAACAGATAGGGGTAATGGGGCAGTTGGTGAAGGAGAGAGACTGGAGGGTGGAGAGGGACTTGAGGGCGGTGAAGGAGAGGGAAACGCCGTCGGAGCAGTTGGAGAGGTGGAGGGAGAGGACGTTGCGGAATGGGGAAGGCTGAGCGCAGGGGTCTATGGCCGTTGGAATGCTGAGGGACTGGAGGGCTCGGAGCTGCTTTAGGTGTAGTGTGGAGTGGGTTGAAGTGGAAGGACATGGGATGGTCTTGGGAGGAGGGACAGTGACCGGAGAAGAGGTTGGGGTGACAGCTGGAGGAGCGGCGGCGGTGGGCGTGGTGGATTTGCCGGCTGGAGAGACGGTGGCAGAGGCGGAGCTGTGCTGGCTTTTTTGTTGGGTTGGGGAAATTTTGAGAAGAAGATGAGATTAGTGGAGGGGGAAGGACTGAGAGGTGAGTATTGTTTTTTTTTTTACTTGTTTTTTTTTCATTTTAGTAAATAAGCCACGTCAGCGGGCCACGTAGGATCCTATTAAGCGTTGATTGGGCGTCGAAAAATTGCACAGTTATGTTTAACGGTCCAACTAACGGAGAAAACATTTTAGTATACAAATGACATATTGAAAACGATGTAATATTAATGGCACTTTCGCTAAAGAATGATATTTCCATTGGTATTAGCCCTCATTATTATTAAAAAAAAATGGACTTCCATACAACACAAACGCGTACACCATGCCGCTGGGAAGCACGACCTGCAATTTGTAGGAGGAGACGGATAAATAGAAAACAAAAATACACACCGAGCCCAACAAACAAAATCTTTCATGGTAAAATTCACACGAGTGACGGCCAAATCAAAGAAGGTTTATATAAGCCGTTGCAACAAAATGGTTCAACTGTACCATCACTGAGATGAAAAATGCCCATATCATGACCACAAGGCCGACCTTGTACATGCTTCGCAATGTAATTAATCATCTGTAAAATAAATGCAATTCCATTTAAGCCCCAGATAATCCTTGGTAGAAATACAAGGGAGCGGATATGGTGACAACACCATATTTGTTGTTATAGTAACAACAACATAGGTGGACCAATAGGAACCCACCATTCTGCATACTTTTGAAATTCATGCGTTGACTAGGGTAAAATACAAAGGAAGGGCATTTTTGTCCTACCAAAAATTGGCAGCTCCTTTTCCGAAAATTTCCAGCTCCTTTTGTCCGAAAATTTCCAGCTCGTTTCTCTCTCCGTTTCTCTCTCTGTCCAATCGCGCGGCGCCGAGGCTGAACGAGGGCGACGAATCCTCATCGGAGCAACGCAACTACTGCAACGGCGGCGACGAGAGCTTGATCGCAGCAGCTACAGCAACGGCGGCGTCGCAACGGCGGCGACGAGAGCCTGATCGCAGCAGCTACAGCAACGGCGGCGACGAGATCCTGATCGCAGCAGCTACAGCAACGGCGGCGACGAGATCTGATCGCAGCAGCTACAGCAACGGCGGCGAGATCTGATCGCAGCAGCTACAGCAACGGCGACGAGATCTGATCGCAGCAGCTACAGCAACGGCGGCAACGCAACGGCGACGAGATCTGATCGCAGCAGCTACAGCAACGGCGGCGACGGCTGAGCAAGCTCCTGATCGCAGCTAAGACATTGACGATGGACGAGAATCGTGTAGATGAAGTTTCTGTTGGTTCTGTAGATGCTCAACAACTCCTGCAAATTGCAACATCTTCTGAAAATGCAACAGAAGTTGGATATCAGCTGGAAACCTCTATTTCCACCAACAGTGACAACAATGAACAAGAAGAAGGTACGCTCAACTCAATCCTTCCTGTTTTCTTACAATGAGCACCACAATCACGCTTATACAAGCCATTTACCATATCATAAGCACTACCAATCAAACCGCCCACAAAAATCCCACAAACGATACCAAAAGCATCGCCAAACACACCACATTCGTCCCAAAACAAACCACAGGAAAAAAAGAGACTATCAACCAAAACACTTTAGAAACAAACCACAATACTTCTTAAACGCACCAAAACACCTCCAATGCACACCATTAAAACCTAAATCGTTACATTCTGCAATCTGTTTGTAAAAAAAGCACATTGTAATGCAAACCATAAATGTTATAAAAGAATCATGAATAACTACAATGCAAACCACTTTTCACTTTTCTAGCAAATATCATTGCAAGATGAAATCATTAAATCGCCCACAAAAATCCCACAAACGATACCAAAAGCATCGCCAAACACACCACATTCTTCCCAAAACAAACCACAATACTTCTTAAACGCACCAAAACACCTTCAATACACACCATTAAAACGTTAATCGTTACATTCCCCAATCTGTTTGTAAAAAAAAATCATACACTGTAATCCAAACCATAAATGTCATAAAAGCATCATGAATAACTACAACCCAAACCACTTTACACTTTTCTAGCAAAAATTATCGCAAGATGAAATGATCAAGTGCTCATTTCTTTCATCATTGCTTACAGGTGTGACATCAAACAGGTCCGAGTCAGACTACACTAGTTTGGGGTTGGCATTCAAAACCATTGAGGAAGCAAAACAATTCTACAAGAACTATGCTCACGACCTTGGCTTCAGCGTGAGGGACATGGGAGCTGTCAAACGTTCTACAAAAAGACAGCCAACCAAAACAGCACGATATGCTAGGTATTGCTGCAGCAAAGAAGGATACAAGACCACAAGCAAGTCAAATCCCAAGAATAAAGGATCAATAGATGTGAAGGCTTATCAACGTGCTGTACCAGAAACTAGAGTTGGCTGCCCAGCTATAATCAAATTCAGATATGATATCGAGAAGGATGAATGGCTGCTGGACAAGTGGATAACAGAACACAACCATGATCTCCTCCCTCCAAAATTCAAACATCTCTTGAGGTCGAACAAGGGGATCTCAGAAATGCATGCAATGGTCGCAAAAGTGCATGCAGATTGTGGAGTTTCACTACGGAAATCATATGAGTTGTTCACCACAACTTCAGGGGGGAGGGAGAATGTACCTTTTACCCCTCATGATCTGAAGAACTATATCACGGGGACAAGGCAGAAATCAATGAAACCAGGCGAAGCAACTATACTTCTTACACATTTTCGCCATGAAGCTTACAAGAATCCATCATTCTTCTATGAAATTGAGGTAGATAGTAACGAAGATATTGCAAGTATATTCTGGGCTGATGCAAGAATGCGGTTTGACTACAGTTGCTTCGGAGATACGATCAGCTTCGACACCACATACAGGACAAACCAGAATTATCGTCCACTAGGTCAGTATTCCTTGCACTAGTTAATTTTCTTGAGATTTGGAAGTTGAATGCATACCAAACATTACATAATGCATTAGGAGGTTTCTGGTGGGATTTTGCAAATGTTGTGGTTTGCTTTGTGAGGTTTGTGGTTTTCTTTGTGAGGTTTGTGGTTTCCTTTGTGAGGTTTGTGGTTTGCATTAATAGGTTTCTGGTCTGCTTCCGCAAATGTTGTGGTTTGCTTTGTGAAGTTTGTGGTCTGTTTTATAAGATTTGTGGTGTGCATTAAAAGGTTTGTGGTTTGCATTAAGAAGAATTCCTTGCACTAGATAATTTTCTTGAAACAATAGAGGAATCCAAGACCTAGTGCGGCATCGGCTTGGGGTCGACTCTCATCAATGGAATTCAACTGCGACACTTACGGGACAACTTTAAACGCATCAAGAAAGGCGCGCAGGTTGAGCGATACGCGATATCGCCGATTGAAAGCGCAGATCCAACCGCGACAACGCAAGCCCAAGCGGCGAAGCTCACAAAGGTGAAACGAAGGCCTAGCCAACGACTGGAAAAGTCAAGAGCAGGACGCAACCACAACTTACCTTCTGCTGGGGGCAATTGTTGGGGTAGGCGCTCTCAGTGCGGTTGGCACGCCTGTTTCCCACTCGCCACCCAATAAGTCCTCCACTCGCCGCCCAAAGAGTGCCTCGGGAAGACGCGCACCTGCTCTAACAGACGAGTCATGTCACACCTTTTTCTACCTTTTTCTACGAGTCATATTCACATGCTTAATTTTTTTGTCAATCACCATGCATAACTTGTCACATAAACATTAATGAAAGGCTCCTAACTATTTTTGCAATAAATTTTAACAAGCTACATCCCTTTAGTTTTAACTCATAATTTATATTTTTTTCATAGATAAATCAAATGAATTGTGCTCTTCGATATGATATCCACTTAATATACTATCAGAACAATAAAAATTGAGACATGTAGTACGGTGATCTATACCATGGCGATAATACTTGGTACAACATAAAATCATACCAAGTGGTATTGAAGTGTACTATGATGGTTTGAACATACCATAATGTATTATGGTTGAATACATGATAGTAAGAATATACAAACTGTCATTTACCACATTCATAATTGTGTACCACCAGTTATGACCCTTATACCATGGTGGTATAGAGTGGTATGTTTTGGTCATGTATTTTTCTCCATAAATTTTAGATCTAATCAATCACGGTGAACCCGTTCATCTATGACAACATTTTCAAAATTCGAGTAACAAAAACAGGTGGTACCAATGTGGTATGAAAAGTTTTTGTCAAACTCATTTTGTAGATCACAAAAGTCGTTCCATCTATGCTAAAAAGAATGGAAATCCAAGTTAGAATGAAGAAGATAAGAGACGATTAATTAAGAAAAATAGGGTAAATAAAAGGCTATTAATTTTCACCCTTTAGATCTAGACTTTTCCGGGGTAACTCAAATCTAAGAATCAAGATCTAGTTATGGAAGGATGCATAACTATAATATTTTTAAAAATTGTGGGATATAAAAGATGTGAAATTTCCATTGAATTGGGTTGAAAACAGTTAATAGCACTGTATGCAACTATACTTTTGTAAGTTAATATATCATTCTACTGTTTTCTTGTACAAATGTATCCTTCAATTATGAACTACTAACGAAGATGTTCTTCTGTCAATGTCATCGTCAAACCACCATTAACAGGAACGAAAAATTTCAAATTACACATCACTTCACTTATTGTGTATCTTATTATATTTTCAGAAAAAAAAACTTAACTATTATTATTTATTGTAATTCCTATTATCCCTTCCACTGTAGAGAATCTCCAACCAAATGTTGGGACTTTTGGAACGAGGGTCTACGTACGATAGCCTGAGACCGGGTGATCAGGATTGTGATAGAGTCATGAACAACGTTCACTTTCTGAAAAGAATATTTCCACCCTTTTCAAAGCCTTGGGTTACAGAAATTTTATCCCGGGGATAAAACAACCACCACTTAAGGTTCTAGGCTCAAGAACACTAAAGCATATTTAAAAGTTTTTGGAAGAAATTACGGATTTTTTTTGTGTCTTTTTTTTAGGGAAAAGTTGATTGGATTTCATATAGTCAAGAAAAGGATGCCTCAAGGGCTACATCATCAGCACATTAGGTTGAGAATTTGGATATTAGAGATTGGAACAATCATTAGCCTTGTATAATTGCTTATGATGTAGCCCTTGAGGCATCCTTTTCTTGACTATATGAAATCCAATCAGCTTTTCCCTCAAAAAAAAAAAAAAAGCAGAGCGACTCGACTATCTCCATGACAGAATAGAGGGTGGACTCGACTATCTAATCATCGAAAAGCAATAAAGCAAAATCAAGTAAATTATTTTTAGGGGTAATACCATTGGAAATACCATCCTTTAGCGAAAGTGTCATTTATATTACATGCTTTCAATAAACACAAAAATATTCCAATCTATTAGAGGTTTGCGTCATTTGTGTTACGCGAATTTCCGTTAACTGTTAAAAATGACGGTGGCCCACTTTGTGTCCACGTAGGCGACACGTGGATGCCACGTTTGAAAAAAATGATTAAAAAGTTGGGTAAATACAATATAATAGCCAAACCTTTCGTTTTAAATAATATAATAGTCAAACCTTTTCGAAAACAATTTAATAGCCAATCCGTTAACTTCCATCCGGTCAACCATTAGTTGACTCTTACGTGGCAAAGTATTAAATGAGGGGGAAGGCTCTTTATGATGTGGCATGAAGTCAATTATTTGACCTTGCCACATAGATATTCCACCATTTTACAAAACAATTTTTTTATATTTGAAAATATAAATTAAATTAAGAAAATAACATTGATCCAATATATATTTGTTTGTTGGGACTGGTCATCTTCTTCCATCATCCATCGTCCCTGCACCCAAACCACTTCCCATCAGGGAGCGGATACTATAACAACAAGGGTAAAAGGATCCATTAACATAATATCTAACAAATAAAAAGATCAATATTCAGCTGATCTCCTTCCTCGCGTATATCGCTTCTTCTCCTCCAATACTCCCCCGGCGCCGCGCCGCCCGATCTGAACCTTCTGACCACTCCATGCTGCTCGCAGGAACAGCAAGCGCTTCGCCTGTGGATCGCGACGGCGGCGTTGCTGAACGTGGAAGGCCTGGCGCTACGCGGCGGCGATGTTATTTCCTCACCGACGTCGTCAGTCTTTGAAGGCGAAAGAGAAGCAATGGCATTAGGAAGCGGTCGAATTGGGTGGGAGATGTGTTTCGTTCCGGAGAAGAACTGAACTGGTAGTCGGCACATCTCCATTTCCTATCCTGACTGGCCGTTCACACTACATCGCCGGGAGGGATGTCAAAGAATGCCGACGTGAGAAGAAACACTGAATGCACCGTAGAAACGTGAAACGCGCGATGGATTGTTCACAGGCCTAACAATTTGAGGTCGAACTCACTAGTTAGGCCCATTCTAATTCGGGCTGGAGCCCATCTAGCTCGGGAAATTCCCAAACGTGGAAATTCTCCTTCCTCTACTTGTCGAGGTTCGGCCGGAAATACGGCCTCTGGCGGTTCCTCTTCTTCGACCGCCTCAGCCACGACAGAGACACCGTCAGGCAAGGATACACCAAGAAGCTCGATGTAAGGTTTTCCTAATCTCCAATCTACCTCCTAATTATAATATCATTAATCCGGTATGAATGTTAAGTCGACAGCAGCAGCAGCCCAATTCTGGGAATCCCAACCAGCAAAGGGGTAAGAAGATACGAATTGACCGGGGGGAAATCGGGTAAACGAAGAATTGTAAGCAAGGAGAAAGAGCCCAGAATTGGGCGGGATGGGAGTAAGAAAGAGGGGGATTGAAGGGATTTCTTTTTTCAGTTCGTGAGATCAAATTGAAGGGAAGTAATTCGAGATTAGGAGGAAGGGGAGCTGTGTGAAGAGGAGATAGTAGAGTGGGAAGGAATTCGGGAATGGTGTGTAAGAGTTCGACTTTGCTAACTTCGCTCGCAGCAATTAGGGTCAGGACAAAAAGGGGGAAAATAGAAAATGCATACTATAAACCTTCTAATACAGACCACAAATCACCTAAAGCAAATCAGAAAAAAGCATACCAGAAACCTCCTAAACCAAACCGCAGATGCTCTAAAACATACCAACAACCCCGCAAAGCAAACCATAGAATTTTCAAAAACACAACAGAAACCTCATAATGCAAACCACAAACACGTTAAACAAACCCACAAAACAAACCAGAAACCTCCTAATGCGTACTACAAATCTCCTAAAACAAACCAGAAACCTCACAAAGCAAACCACAAAATTTTCGAAAACATACAGAAATCTCATAATGCAAACCAGAAACAAGATAAAGCAAACCACAAAAACAAACCAGAAATGTCCTAATGTAGATAACAAATCTATTAAAACAAACCACAAACCCCGCAAAACAAACAAATTTTTTTTTGAAAGCACGCTAGAAACTTCTTAATGCAAACCAGAAAAACGATAAAGCAAACCACAAAATGCATAAAAAAATATGGAAACCAAACCATAAATCTCACAATGCACACCACAATATCCGGTGATCGTTGACCGGTCAACAAAGTTCGTTGACCAAACTCCGACGACCGATACGCATATTCCGGCCACGATGACTAGATTCTGATGCCGGTAAGCATATTCCGACGCCTGCAAGCATATTCCGCCGACAAAAAAGCATATTCCGGTGACCAAAATTTTGGGCAGAAAATAAAAAAATATTTTTTAAGCTTTTATTTTTTTTATTTTTATTTAAATATATTTTCATAATGAAAATTATACCCCTGCTTTGATTTTACACTAGGTCAACTCAGATAATAAAAAGTCATCACAGCCCTAGCTTCCTATTGGTTGGAGACTAGTGTTGTTACAATAACAACATAAGGGGTGTTGTCCACTATCTAGTCTCTTCCCATCACCAATCGATTAAAGCTCCGACCCTAATATCGCCGGGAAGAGGGAAGTGCGAAAATTCCACTCTAGACACCCATCCATCCAATACCCCACACCCAGTCGCTTCGCATCCTCCATTCCCCTACACCCACCCATCGCTCCATCCCATCTCTTCAATCGCTCCAGTCGATCGGTCGGACATCTATGAGAATCTGGGTTTTTTCCTGGGTTGGACGATTGGCAATCCCAGGGTTTTTCCTACGAATCTGGGTTTTTCATGGGCTGGGTGTTTCACGATTTCTAGGCTGGGGTTGATGCTAACTAGGGTTGAAGGATTGTGCGAGGGAGCATGGATTGCGATGGAGGATCGAGAGCTTAGAACTCGGGCTTGGGCTTGGAGGATGGCAAAGAAGAAGAAGAGATAGGGTTCTTTGATTTTTAATTATATTTTTCCCAAAAAAATGAATTATTATGTAAATTTATTATTATTCTTGTAGGATGTTAAAAGTTTAATGTCTTGCCACGTCATCAGAAAATTTCCACCTCATTTAATGGTTGGCTATTAAATTGTTTTTTAAAAGGTTTGGCTATTATATTGTTTAAACGAAAGGTTTGACTATATTGTATTTACCCTAAAAATTTTAAAAATATTATTTATTAATTATTTATTATTCTATTACAAAATAAAAATTCTTTTAACCCACACACCTCTATCTTTTTTACAGCATCGGGCCTCTCCTTCGAAACCCCCAATCCCAAGCCTCAACACAGGCCGCCGCCACATCACCAACATCATTACTCTGTCATTCCTCCTCTCCAATCGCCACCGAATCCGGTGAATCCGGAGTCGGAGGAGTTGATTGTTGTCCAGGAGAAGGAGGCGGAACAGTTGGTTCGATTCGATCGTAGAGGCGGAACAGCTGGTTTGGGAAACAATGGAGCTCCTGGGCCGAAAGGAGATCTTTCTACCTGATTGAGGGTTTCAGATTCTCGAGGATTGAAATTGAACTGGGTATCCTTCCTTTAGGCATGTTTTCCAAAAGATCCACACGGGTGAGATTCTCGACCAAATGCTTAGGAATCGAGCCCGTGAGATTCGCATTCGTGATGGTGAGCGACCGGAGCTTGTTCATATTCCCGATGACGACGTAGAGCCCGGTGGTGCTGACGGGGACATCGGTTACGGTGAGGTTGACGAAGTGGGAGAGCTAGACGTCCGTTAGGTGTTTGAGAGAATGCGCACAAGTGAAAGAGCGGAGGGCGAGGGCGAGATCTGAAGGGAAACAGATAGGGGTAATGGGGCAGTTGGTGAAGGAGAGAGACTGGAGGGTGGAGAGGGACTTGAGGGCGGTGAAGGAGAGGGAAACGCCGTCGGAGCAGTTGGAGAGGTGGAGGGAGAGGACGTTGCGGAATGGGGAAGGCTGAGCGCAGGGGTCTATGGCCGTTGGAATGCTGAGGGACTGGAGGGCTCGGAGCTGCTTTAGGTGTAGTGTGGAGTGGGTTGAAGTGGAAGGACATGGGATGGTCTTGGGAGGAGGGACAGTGACCGGAGAAGAGGTTGGGGTGACAGCTGGAGGAGCGGCGGCGGTGGGCGTGGTGGATTTGCCGGCTGGAGAGACGGTGGCAGAGGCGGAGCTGTGCTGGCTTTTTTGTTGGGTTGGGGAAATTTTGAGAAGAAGATGAGATTAGTGGAGGGGGAAGGACTGAGAGGTGAGTATTGTTTTTTTTTTTACTTGTTTTTTTTTCAATAAGCCACGTCAGCGGGCCACGTAGGATCCTATTAAGCGTTGATTGGGCGTCGAAAAATTGCACAGTTATGTTTAACGGTCCAACTAACGGAGAAAACATTTTAGTATACAAATGACATATTGAAAACGATGTAATATTAATGGCACTTTCGCTAAAGAATGATATTTCCATTGGTATTAGCCCTCATTATTATTAAAAAAAAATGGACTTCCATACAACACAAACGCGTACACCATGCCGCTGGGAAGCACGACCTGCAATTTGTAGGAGGAGACGGATAAATAGAAAACAAAAATACACACCGAGCCCAACAAACAAAATCTTTCATGGTAAAATTCACACGAGTGACGGCCAAATCAAAGAAGGTTTATATAAGCCGTTGCAACAAAATGGTTCAACTGTACCATCACTGAGATGAAAAATGCCCATATCATGACCACCAAGCCGACCTTGTACATGCTTCGCAATGTAATTAATCATCTGTAAAATAAATGCAATTCCATTTAAGCCCCAGATAATCCTTGGTAGAAATACAAGGGAGCGGATATGGTGACAACACCATATTTGTTGTTATAGTAACAACAACATAGGTGGACCAATAGGAACCCACCATTCTGCATACTTTTGAAATTCATGCGTTGACTAGGGTAAAATACAAAGGAAGGGCATTTTTGTCCTACCAAAAATTGGCAGCTCCTTTTCCGAAAATTTCCAGCTCCTTTTGTCCGAAAATTTCCAGCTCGTTTCTCTCTCCGTTTCTCTCTCTGTCCAATCGCGCGGCGCCGAGGCTGAACGAGGGCGACGAATCCTCATCGGAGCAACGCAACTACTGCAACGGCGGCGACGCAACGGCGGCGACGAGAGCTTGATCGCAGCAGCTACAGCAACGGCGGCGACGCAACGGCGGCGACGAGAGCCTGATCGCTGCAGCTACAGCAACGGCGGCGACGAGATCCTGATCGGAGCAGCTACAGCAACGGCGGCGACGAGATCTGATCGCAGCAGCTACAGCAACGGCGGCGAGATCTGATCGCAGCAGCTACAGCAACGGCGACGAGATCTGATCGCAGCAGCTACAGCAACGGCGGCAACGCAACGGCGACGAGATCTGATCGCAGCAGCTACAGCAACGGCGGCGACGGCTGAGCAAGCTCCTGATCGCAGCTAAGACATTGACGATGGACGAGAATCGTGTAGATGAAGTTTCTGTTGGTTCTGTAGATGCTCAACAACTCCTGCAAATTGCAACATCTTCTGAAAATGCAACAGAAGTTGGATATCAGCTGGAAACCTCTATTTCCACCAACAGTGGCAACAATGAACAAGAAGAAGGTACGCTCAACTCAATCCTTCCTGTTTTCTTACAATGAGCACCACAATCACGCTTATACAAGCCATTTACCATATCATAAGCACTACCAATCAAACCGCCCACAAAAATCCCACAAACGATACCAAAAGCATCGCCAAACACACCACATTCGTCCCAAAACAAACCACAGGAAAAAAAGAGACTATCAACCAAAACACTTTAGAAACAAACCACAATACTTCTTAAACGCACCAAAACACCTCCAATGCACACCATTAAAACCTAAATCGTTACATTCTGCAATCTGTTTGTAAAAAAAGCACATTGTAATGCAAACCATAAATGTTATAAAAGAATCATGAATAACTACAATGCAAACCACTTTTCACTTTTCTAGCAAATATCATTGCAAGATGAAATCATTAAACCGCCCACAAAAATCCCACAAACGATACCAAAAGCATCGCCAAACACACCACATTCTTCCCAAAACAAACCACAATACTTCTTAAACACACCAAAACACCTTCAATACACACCATTAAAACGTTAATCGTTACATTCCCCAATCTGTTTGTAAAAAAAATCATACACTGTAATCCAAACCATAAATGTCATAAAAGCATCATGAATAACTACAACCCAAACCACTTTACACTTTTCTAGCAAAAATTATCGCAAGATGAAATGATCAAGTGCTCATTTCTTTCATCATTGCTTACAGGTGTCACATCAAATCCGAGTCAGACTACACTAGTTTGGGGTTGGCATTCAAAACCATTGAGGAAGCAAAACAATTCTACAAGAACTATGCTCACGACCTTGGCTTCAGCGTGAGGGACATGGGAGCTGTCAAACGTTCTACAAAAAGACAGCCAACCAAAACAGCACGATATGCTAGGTATTGCTGCAGCAAAGAAGGATACAAGACCACAAGCAAGTCAAATCCCAAGAATAAAGGATCAATAGATGTGAAGGCTTATCAACATGTTGTACCAGAAACTAGAGTTGGCTGCCCAGCTATAATCAAATTCAGATATGATATCGAGAAGGATGAATGGCTGCTAGACAAGTGGATAACAGAACACAACCATGATCTCCTCCCTCCAAAATTCAAACATCTCTTGAGGTCGAACAAGGGGATCTCAGAAATGCATGCAATGGTCGCAAAAGTGCATGCAGATTGTGGAGTTTCACTACGGAAATCATATGAGTTGTTCACCACAACTTCAGGGGGGAGGGAGAATGTACCTTTTACCCCTCATGATCTGAAGAACTATATCACGGGAAAAAGGCAGAAATCAATGAAACCAGGCGAAGCAACTATACTTCTTACACATTTTCGCCATGAAGCTTACAAGAATCCATCATTCTTCTATGAAATTGAGGTAGATAGTAACGAAGATATTGCAAGTATATTCTGGGCTGATGCAAGAATGCGGTTTGACTACAGTTGCTTCGGAGATACGATCAGCTTCGACACCACATACAGGACAAACCAGAATTATCGTCCACTAGGTCAGTATTCCTTGCACTAGTTAATTTTCTTGAGATTTGGAAGTTGAATGCATACCAAACATTACATAATGCATTAGGAGGTTTCTGGTGGGATTTTGCAAATGTTGTGGTTTGCTTTGTGAGGTTTGTGGTTTTCTTTGTGAGGTTTGTGGTTTCCTTTGTGAGGTTTGTGGTTTGCATTAATAGGTTTCTGGTCTGCTTCCGCAAATGTTGTGGTTTGCTTTGTGAAGTTTGTGGTCTGTTTTATAAGATTTGTGGTGTGCATTAAAAGGTTTGTGGTTTGCATTAAGAAGAATTCCTTGCACTAGATAATTTTCTTGATATTTCGAAATTGAATGCAAACCAAACATTACGCAATGCATACCACAAACCTCCTAAACCATACTAAAAACGTCCTGAAGCACACCATATATATAAAAAAAGACAGCCTTTGTTTGTTTCAATGTTTAATTCTATGTTGTTCTTTTTTTTATTTTTAATTTACAGCTTTGTTTGTTGGCTTCAACCACCATCGTGCACTTTGCATCTTCGGGGCTGCTCTCCTATATGATGAAACAACCGCTACATTCAAGTGGTTGTTCGATGCATTCTTGAAATGTATGTCAGGCAGCCGACCAACATCAATATTCACCGACCAAGCTGCTGCAATCGCCGGTGGGATTAGATCCGTCATTCCTGAAGCATTCCTTGGCTTGTGTACTTTTCATATCAAGCAGAATGCAATGAAGCATCTCGACACCACAAACACAAACATTCTAGAAGATCTACAATATGTCACTTTTGGAGTAGAAAATGAGGAAGAATTTGAGTACAATTGGTCAAGGTTGCTAGACACATATTATCCAGAAGAAGGCACCAATCCAAGGAACTGGTTGGATTCAATTTACAAGGTGAGAAAACAGTGGTCTTCAGCATGGATTAAGGACCACTTCACAGCTGGTATGCGAAGCTCACAGCTGAGTGAGTCTTGTAACAGCAACCTCCGAAACTATCTTCAACCAGATGACAACCTAGTTGAGTTCTTCACATACTTCAACAAGTTGCTCGAACGGAAAAGATCAGACGAAATGGACATGGATTATCAAATGGCAAACACAGTCCCAAACAACATGTACGTATTACTTCCTTTATTTGAACTTTTTATACTGTAGAATGCATCCACAGAACAGTTGAATACAACCCAGATACCACCTAAACCAACCCAAAACCCCTACAATCCACACCACAGACAACCTAATCCAAACCATAAACACCACAATGCACACCGCAAAAGCTTAAACAACCCAGATACCACCTAAACCAACCCAAAACCCCTACAATCCACACCACAGACCACCTAATACAACCCATAAACACCACAATCCACACCACAAACAGTACAATACATACCATAAAATCATTAATGTAGACAAGATGTTTTATGAATGATTGTATGTTGTATGTCATCTTCCAACAGGTATGACAGAAGCCCACTTGTTCAGCAAGTCGCAAAATTATACACAACTAAGATCTACAGTTCTTTCCTTGAGGAGTATTCAGAAAGCCTTGCTTTTTTTGTGTTCCGGAATGAATCTATGGATAGAGATGGAATGACAGCTTATGAAGTGAAGAAACTAGGAGGATTCGGCAAAAGAGTCGTGTTAGTGAACAAAGAGGAGAAGAAATACAAGTGCTCATGTCGTTTGTTTGAAAGTTCAGGCTGGTTGTGCAGACATGTAATCAGGCAGATAGAGATGGTTGGATTCAATGGTGATGATATTGAGCAATTGACTATCCCTAAGGAATACATTCTGCCACGATGGACGAGAGATGCCAAATCTGGAGAGAAGTTCACAATAAACACAACAGAATGTGCTGCAACAGATACTTATGCAGGGAGGTATCAAGAACTGTGTGCTAGCATGGTTATCCTAGCAACAAAAGTCTCAATGAATGACAAGGTCTTCTCAATGGTTAAGGAGAAGATTGCAGAGCTCACTAAACTAGCTTTCCAAAGCCTTCAGACTCAAGAAACTCAGCAAACAGTACCTGGTAATTTCACACATCTTGTTAGCATCCCTACTTATATTCACCAGTAATTGCTTAATCCAAGCCACTAATGATCTAATGCAAACCATAAACATCTTAATCCAATCCACTAATTGCTTAATCCCTACTTATGTTCACCAGTATCTTGCATATTGCTTTTTCAACAGATGGAACCACCAATACATCACCCTCACAAAGCGCTGCTGCTTCAACTACAAATGACAAGTATGCCAATGTGAAGGGATTCAAGGCTCGAAAAGACCCATGGAAATCAAAGAAGAGGCCAAGAGGTGGACTTGAGGTAGCACTGGAGAGGGCTAGAAAGCAAAGAATTGATGAACAGGCCGCCAACAAGCGTTACAAAAGCAACAATGAGTGATTAGTTTCCTTGTTGTTATCCGTGTTTTTTTTCTGTCATAAACTTTTAGATTTCAATGACAACTATGAGACAAATATGAACAGTTGCAGGTTTTTGATAATATTTGATCAACACAGATACAGTTGAATACAACCCAGATACCACCTAAACCAACCCAAAAACCCCACAATCCACACCACAGACCACCTAATCCAAACCATAAACACCACAATACACACCGAACAAGGTTAAACAAACCACAGATACCACCTAAACCAACCCAAAAACCCCACAATCCACACCACAGACCACCTAATCCAAACCATAAACACCACAATGCACACCGAACAAGGTTAAACAACCCAGATACCACCTAAACCAACCCAAAAACGCTACAATCCACACCACAGACCACCTAATCCAAACCATAAACACTACAAACCACACCATACAGGAAAGAAAACAAACTACGAAACCTCTTAACAAAACCAAACCACAAACATATGGAAACTTTCCAGAACACTCATTAAGCAAACCACTTATGTATTAACACAAACCACTTGTCTTATAATACACACCATACACGACGAACACAAATCCTCTTAATCAACACCATTTACACACTAAAACACATATTAACACACTGAAATCTGAAACTGTTCTTGCAAATGCATGCTAAAATCAGCTAGTCCACCTTGCGATCAAACTCCAAACTCTTCTTCTTCACCTCTTCAAGTACACTGTTCTCCTTGTTCAGCAGCAATGTTAATGTGATCTCATCCCGCCTCTGATTGATTTGTCTTTGCCAATTCCTCATAGCTGGATGCAGTTTGCCATCCCAAAACTCAGCAAAATTCATAGCAAAAACACCACAGTCAACCCCACCACGTTGTCTCACCCCTCGCATTCTAACCCACTTGAATTCTTCAAATTTGAAGGGCTCTTCTCTGCAGGCAGGAATGTATTCTGTGGCATAGCGGACCACCATATCCGCAACAGCACGAAACTTGGAATCAAGTTCGTCAGGGTAAAGGCTGTCAAGATAATCATACCGTTTGTTCTTCAGATTCACTACATACATCCTGTAGTGGTCATCAGAACAGTGGGGGAACATCCACTGCATGCAGAACAAAAACAAGTCAGTACTCCAAAAGCACAATGAAGAAAAAACACACATGAAACAATCTAGCAAATCTGACTAAAAAAATACATACATAATCACATTGTGAGAAATCCAAACCATCTGGTATCCACTTGCAACTTGTAATAATTTCATCAGTCTCTTCAAAAAAATTAGGCAGTGGTCCATAGTTCTTCACTATCCCCTGCACTTTTTGCTACAAGGTAGAACACAACATAAACACAGTAAAACAAACCATACGTATTATAATGCACACCACAAAAACCCTAAAACAAACCAGACGTCTTATAATGCACACCACAAAAACCCTAAAACAAACCAGACGTATTATAATGCACACCACAAAACCCTTAAACCAAACCAGACGTATTATAATGCACACCACAAAAACCCTAAAACAAAACAGAACTAGCAAAAAATGTAACTCACCGCCAGCCCTGAATAGAACACCCATCTTTTCAGTTGCCCTCTTCTCACTTGCTCCCGATTCAGATAGGCAGCATAGCAGTCAACAACATCCACACTCACACATTTCCCATGTGCCAAAGTCTCTGTGTCTTTTCTATACAAGCAATCGAATCCATCAACACGATTGAAAAGGATTTCCTTCCTATTTTTCATAATCCATAACAAACAAAACAGTCGGCATTAGAAAAGTACTAATAAGCACTATATAAAAAAATATATACAAACAACCGCATATGTATGAAATCTATACACATTAACTTACAAGTTATTCGAATCCCTTGCATATCGCAACACAGCACCCTTCAACACATCAATATCAACACCGGATGAGCTTGCTGCATTCTTCACTTTAAATTTTTTCTGATTTTTAAAGCAACCCACAAATTAGATAAAACAACACTAAAAACAACTAAAACAAACCACAAATGCGATAAACCACACTACAAACACAAACCAAAACTGAAACATTGTACAACAAATTACCTTTCCCTTCATAACTAGTTGTCTCAATGTTAAATCTCCACTACCATCACCACCCTCAAGCACCTTCAAACACAAAACAGTAAGAATACCTTTACGACCTTCTCAACCAAGTTATCCAACTTAGCAGCATCAACACCATCAACATTGTCATCTCCATCATCACCTTGTCCCTTTTCCTCACAGCTGTCCATCTCCATCACCTTCTTAGCATTCTCAGAATCAGCTTCTTTCCTTTTCTCATCAACCACCACATCTTCACAAACATCCCCCATAGCAGACTACAGAAACCAAACCACAAAAGTGTTTAACAAAACCAGATATATGTAAACCACACCACTAACAAATGCAAAACAACCAACTACAAAAGACATGACAAACAAACCAAAAACAGTATAATCCACACCACAAATATTCAAACACAAAACAGTAAAAATACCTTTACGACCTTCTCAACCAAGTTATCCAACTTAGCAGCATCAACATTGTCATCTCCATCATCACCTTGTCCCTTTTCCTCACAGCTGTCCATCTCCATCACCTTCTTAGCATTCTCAGAATCAACACTTTTTTGTGTCATCTCCATTGTCAGATTATCAAGATGATCATCAAGTCCCTCCGAATCTAACACTCCCTTAGGAGAGGTATCATCATTAGCAGTGCCAGCAGGATCATTGTGACCAACATCTGGCAACACAACATCAACACTACCAGCACCATCCTTATCCATCTCCATTGACAAATCATCAAGACCCGGGGACTTTGGACTGTTAGCACCAGTCTCATCATCAGCATTGGCAGCAGATGCATTGCGACCGACATCATTGGTTCCCTTAGCAACAGAAACATCATCAACTCTATCAGTGAAATCGACATTATCTTCAGGACTATCCTCTGGTTGCTGCCCCTCCAGCATCTTTATATGATCATCAACTTGTTCAATGCTCGAACTGTAATGAGCAGCCATCCTCAACAAAGCCCTCTTATAACTTTCCATGTCATTCTTCAACTGATATGCCTACAAAAACACGAAAACAGCCCAAAGTTACTGAACAGCCCAAAAGCAAACCATAAACCTTCTAAAGAATCTCACATTCCTTTTAATGAACACCTAAAACACACTTATACGAACCACATATGTTTGAGTTCTCACAGAAAAACACCTACCAAACGATGAGTACCATAAAATATTCCTTTAACGAAGTAATGCAAACCACTATTCTTTTAATAGAAACCACAAGTACACTAAAGCAAGCCAAAGAACAAACAACAGAAAACACAACTAACCAGCACATGAATAAAATAAAGTATTCCGTAAACAAACTAATGCAAACCACTATACTTGTAAAGCACACTGAAAGTACTCTAAAGAAAGACATAAAACGAATAACACAGAAAAAATCACTCACTTCTTCAACCGAATGAACACCATCCAAGTTGAGGTCAAGATGGGGAAGCTTCGGAAGATCCCCTTCCCTCACCATATCAAGATCATCTACCGGCCTTTTCCTCTTTGAACCCAGCACACGTTCTCGTCCCATTGGTTGACTGGAGGTTGCTTCTTCTTCCATCACTACATCTCGATGACCAATATTGAGATGACCTTCGTCCATCAGTACTTGAAAAGCAGCACTTGCGACTTTGTACGACCTATGCCTACAGGTCGGTATGGGCAGCTCAGGGGGGGTTCTTCACACGGTCAAGAATCGAAATCTGCCACATATACAAACAGACAGAAGTCAAGCAACCACAAACAAACTGTGCCAGAAAGATTATAATACACACCACACAACCAGGGGGGAGGGGCAAAAGCAAACCATAAATATTCTTAAACAAACCATAAACATCTTCAACCACACCAGATTCGTCAATAAACAAACCATAAATGATAAACAATAGCAGAAACATTATAACAAAGGGGGGTAAAGCAAACCATAAATATTCTTAAACAAACCATAAACATCTTCAACCACACCACATTAGTCAATAAACAAACCATAAATGAAAAACAATACCAGAAACATTATAACACAGGGGGGGGGGGCAAAAGCAAACCATTAAAACTCTTAAACAAACCATAAACATCTTCAACCACACCACATTCGTCAATAAACAAACCATAAATGAAACAGTAAACCAAAATTCGAAAAGGGGTATATTTATTCACTTACAAAAAGAAGATGAACGTCACCAGGGAACTTTGACTTTGATTGAACCACTTCAACCATACTGTCATTAAAATGGTCAGCCACATGCTTACACCAATTATATTGGGTGAAGTCAGCAACCATTTCATCTTGCAAAAAACCAGCATAGGAGAGGTTAATCTTCAAATTTCCACTGGGACACAGAACTACCTCCATTGCATACAGTACAAAAAGATCCCTCCACTTCTTATTGTCCCTCTCCTCTTCCAATGCCAGTTTAACGTTTGCCAATGACGCCTTTCCTTTCTTAGTATTGGAAAGCCCTAACTCAATTCCCCACCTGTGCCTCTGGGCTGCACTGAACATATCCAGCTTAACAGCATACGGTCCACGCGGCAAACCATAGACTCTCTCCACATCTGCCTCTCCAATTCTAAACTTCCCTGACCGTAGTAGCGGGAAAGACCTTGAACTCACATCAAAGCTTTTGCAAAGCCATTCAATAAAATTATCCGGGAGTCTCGTAAGCTTAACCCTCGACACACCCCTAAAACCCAGAGGATCAAGCATCTGCAGTTTTTCTTCACTTGTACTGTCAGCTTCCATGATGCCAAGAATACGATTAGTATTACTACGATGCCTCTTATCCGGCTTTCCAGGCACAGGAGAAGCACCATCTTTCTCTCGCTTAGGTGTTGCAACTTTTTCTTTTTCTTTCCCCTTTACTGCACCATCTTTCTCTTGCTTAGGTGTTGGAACTTTTTCCTTTTCTTTCCCCTTTACTGCACGTTTCTTAGCAGGTGCCATGCCTACAAAGCAACCAAAACACAAACCAACATAAGCAATCTCATACCAGAACATATAAAATCCAAACCATTAAGGGCCTAATGCAAACTGTAAACCCATGAAAACAATCCAATAATCAAATTTAAAGCAGACAAACAACAACTCCAAATGAACCACCAACATCACCCTGGAAAAACACCAGAAAGGCCCCAATCCAACCCACAAACACCCTAAATGTCACCAAACACAAAGCGCACCACCAAAAAAAAAAAGAACAAAACAACAGAACTACTGAACACCACCACAAACGACTCAATAATCAGATGTAAAGGAGACAAACAACAACTGCAAATGCACACCAGTAAATCTTCTAAACCAAACTGTGAAATCCGAAACACAAACCACAAAACCTTTTAAAAGAACCACCAACAGTAGCCTGAAAGTACACAATAGTTTTATTAAAACCCTCCAGAAAGGCACCAATCCAACCCACAAACACCCTAACTGTCACCAAACACAAAGCACACCACAAACGACTCATGAGAAACCAGAAACCCTAAAATACACAATAGTTTTATTAAAACCCTCCAGAAAGGCCCCAATCCAACCCACAAACACACTAACTGTCACCAAACACAAAGCGCACCACCAAAATATAGAAAAAAACAACAGAACTACTAAACAACACCACAAACGACTCATGAGAAACCAGAAACCCTAAAATAATCAAAGCACACCACAAAAATGAAGAAACATCCAACAAAACCTAACCAGAACGCACAACTATGAAATTTCCTCGTCTCCTTCAACAAATTTAGACTGCATGCGTCAAAACATCGCTGAAAACTGGAAAACGAAAGTAACAGAGGGCAAACATGAAAACGAAGGTTGTAAATTCAATAGCAGAAGCAAGCAATGACAATGCTAACGAAAACGAAAAACGGCGACGCCAAACTAACACCATACAAGTGGAACTCCGGCGACGCTAAACGACAACGGCGACTTCGCAGACCAAAACTGACGACGGAGGAGAAGACAGTTCCAGTTTATCGGAGGAAATCACCGGCATACCTCGAAATTCACTTCGGCGACGGAGGAAACAGAATCGCGCGAAGGAAATCCACAAGCCGCAGACGAAATCGCTCGATGCAGATGCAAATTTGGTGGCGAGAACAGGGAGACCGAAGCAGACGTCCCGTCGGAGAGCAGTTCGTGAGCAGAGGGAAAAGGGGAAAGGGGAAAGCGGAAAACTGAAATGTCTCAACGCGCGCTTCAA